AAGTTTTTGATCAGACTATGCCATGAGTGAAGATTAAAAAATGGTCTTCAGGATAACAACAACAACAACAACAACAACTACAACAATCATTTATAGACCGATTGTACCTTTCGGTGTGTGGTCTTTTACGAAACGACTAGACTCAAATTTCTCTAACAATTCCTCTCCAAACTTCCCTATCGAGAGCCAGGTCTTGAGTTTCTCTACACCAATCATACCCTCTAACATCCAAATCACATTTAACCGAATCCAAATAACGTCTACGAGGTCTTCTCCTATTTCTCGGTCCATCTGCATCAGCCAAAGCATGACGATAAGGCAAAATTGCTTGCCAGCGCCACCAAATGACTCCATATGATGCTATATAGTTCTGCGGTTGCCAGCGGTACTAATCTCTGATAGAGCGTTGCCGAGCTGTCATTATCGTCGTGCTTTGGCATCAGCATACAAAACCTTCTTTGGCAAACGAGACTCATTCATACATTGGACATGACCAAACCATCTCAATCTAGACTGCTACATCTTCAACCGACTCAAAATTCAAATCATCTCGAATTCTTTCATTTCTGATACGATTTTCCCATCCAGAAATCATTCGCAAAACTTTCATATCAGCCACTTCCAATCCATGAATTAAATTTTGAGAATCGACCCAGCTCTCGCTTCCGTAAAGGATAGTTGGTGATAGTTGATATAAGGATAGTTGGTCTTCAGGATGGGTGAAAAAAATGTTCAATAAAAAGAACTTTCAATTCTAGGATCACAGCTAAAATCATCTGAGAATGCTATCTCTTTTGGAATATTTGGGTATAAATGTGTCCATTTCGATGATTGTTGGATAACATCAGAAAATTTTGTTCGTCGACGATCTAGATCTTCTCGGCAAAGTGGTTCATACATGCACACTTCGAGTTGTCCTTCATCATTTTTCTGCACCGACGTAACGGATACACCACCTGAAACAGATTATTTTTTATAGTTATGGTCTCCTATCTTATAACAAACAAAATTGCTATTTACCAATTACAGATTCAGGGAATCGCAGTAAAAATGTGCCTGGCGTACATTTTAAAAGTAATTGTTCAGCTTCCTCTCTTGCAATGAAGCCAATTATAAGTCCTGCTTGCCACTGATTACGAAGGTGGTTTTGAATCAATTTCATGATGCCATGAAACCACGCGTAGAACGTGAATTCTTGATCCGGTAATGGACTCTGACATAGTTGTGAAAATGAAATCAAATCATCTCCAGGGTTCGTAAGTGGGTTGGGGTTGAGTTTTTTGTCTAAAGGGTTGAAAATAAGAGTTGGAATTATTTCATTAGAATTAAAACAAAATAAAAGATTCGAATAATTCGGAAAAATACTCACGTAAATAATCGAAATGCTCTTTAGTCAGAGAGAGCCCGGTTTGATTCTTGAATCTTGTATTCAAAAGTGATGACAGTTGTGA